GCATCAGTGAAACGATAAACAGGGCATAAGATACTAAATATCAACGCCGAGGTTTTTGTTCCAATGACTCAAAGTAAGTATTTGAAGTAAGAGGCAATTGCAGGAGAAGCTGAAAGTTGAAGACATATATATTGAATTATACACGTGCCTAAATCCATTACATAAGAATGATGGAGTAAGGGCAATATAGTTATCTTAAACACTTTGGTTCAAAGGAATGAGTTGATTACAGTATGTTCTCCTTTCGCTGATAGAAACAGTCCATCACAGAGGATAGGCCTGCAGTGCAGAGGCATTCATGTATCTGTGTTCCCTTTACTATTTACTTTTCTACTTTTGCTTTTGCTTTTCGGAGCATCATCTCTTGCTCAGATGGGAAACTGATTCAGCACCACCACACCTTGCATTCTTGCCTTACTCCCAAAGCATTCTTCACATACACTACACTACATTTCCCACATCAAACCACGTCTCCAAAAGTAACAACTTCAACGTATGCCCGCATAAAACAAAACCAAAATGGTCAACAAATTCACTGTTCTTTCGTCTGCAAATTTCATTGTTAAAAGCTGATGATCATTCTGAGAAGGTTGCGACTATGCTGCCCTTTAATTTTAAGGGGTTTAGATGCCCTGCCAGATGTAACGAATAAACACATGCCACATGGTTACAGGGCCCACACACAATGGTTTCACTTTTTGACCGGATGAAGGGTAAATCGGTAAATGCGTTAGCCAAATGTTTTTTTGTTCAAATTTGTCTGTCTCTACCAACTTTTAGGGTTTAACTGGGTTTATTTCCTTCGTGTATTTTTTTCGCAGTCTTCAGGCAACGCCTGATCACAATCGTATTTCCAAGAAATCTCCGTCCTTCTTCGTCGAGTTTGCGATTAGACGAATGATGGTGATGATGGCGCTGCTAGAGTGGCTGTGTCAGACACAAGTCGAGTAAAAAGTCCAAAGAGCCATCCACGAACGAAGTCTCACCGATGAGTCCTGCACTGAGCCAAGCCCAGAAACTGTGTAAAAAGAATTGAGTCTTGATTAGTTGCTTTATAGTTCTTTCAACTTTTGAAATGGGCGGTTTGTAGCGTGATTGCAAGAGGTCCGAATATCCATTAAGGTTCGTTTAAGTTGTAAATGGTTATAAATTTGTGCAATTTGTGCAATGTGGTTGTCGTGTGATTATTTTGGATGATAACTCATTGTTCGTGTGGCACGTAGAGAGGTTTCCGAATGAGAGGGTTGAGCAGTGGAGGGATACGATGAAGTAAGTGAGTGAACTACCTGGTTTTCGTTTTGGATGAGAAAAGGTGCATGCAACATGGTGCTCCGTTAATTGCTGTTAGCTGATTACGTAGTATTGCTATATATCTGTGTATAAGAGCACCATTTTATCAGTTTCTGCTTTTTTCATAATATATGCATGGTTTTACAGAATCGCTGTCATGTGGTGTGTGGTTTGTTTATCTTGTTTCAGAAATCTTATATATTTTATGTCTTATATATTTTAATGAATAAGTTTTATATCTTTTATATAATTTTTATTATTATTAAAGATAAGGGTTAGTTACGATGAAAAAATGATAGCTTTTCTAAAATGAAAACATGTTCCGTGTCTTTGAGCTTTCTTGTGTCTTTGAGCTTTGTTTTGACACCAGCGTGTGATGGCTTTGAACAATGTGATTCCCTCATTTGTTTTTAAATATTTCTTACTTAGTGACGGTGACAAGGGTGATGAGCTCATTCGGATTTTGGTGCAAAATCTTATGAAGCAGCTGAGGAACACACCACTGAATGGGGCTCCATTCACAGTAGGACTCAATGATAGAGTTGAAGTGTTGAAAAAACTGTTAGACTTAAAATCCAACTATGTAAGGGCTTTGGGGTTGTATGGAATTGGTAGAATTGGTAAGACAACATTTGTCGGAATAGTCTTTAATTTATAGATGTCAATTTTACATTTAGTGGTTGGACTCTTTAATTTTGTTAGGGTTTGAGATTGTTGGGAGGAAACTTTAAAGGCTTGAAAGTGTTTAAGATTTGGAAGAGATCGGAAGATTTTGAAAAAAAGGAAAGACTTAATTGTATTGAGTAGTTATAAAATTTTTGGTTTGCTTTCAAATCATATAACCATCACCTATTTATATTAGTGGTACCTATTAACCAATGATTAAGATGTTTTCACCACAACACTTATCTAACAGCTATAATTTATTCTTTAGAACTTTCTAAAACATTTTTATAATTCTAAACTTATCTAGATACATCCTATATAGATAAACATCTCTAGATATTTTTGTAAATCAATTCTAGAATCATTTTATAATTCTATTTGAAAATTTTCTAATATTGGACTTTTATCTTTTAAGCCCAACATACAAAATCAGTCTTTATTTGAATAGAGATAACTAGTCGAAATTTGCTTTGATCATAATTTCAGTGATTATAATCTGCTTTCCAATTCTTTATGCACATTTCAATACTATGTTCTCTCTCACCTTGACAAAAAAAATGCATTTGAGGTGGTTAAATGATTGGATGAAACAAAAAAACATTAAACAATTAGAAATATTTGAAAAATAAGGAAGGACTCGAGAAAAAAGAAAGCAAGAAAAGAAACTTAAAAGATAAGATAAAAAAAAAACATAATACGTTTATAAAATATAGAACCTTTTAGAAAATTAAAGGAAATTGTTTTAAAAGTATTTAGAAATGTCTAGAAATTTCTAGAGCTTTATAAAATACTCTAAAATAATATAAGAAGGAAAGATGCATCTCATCAACGAAAAAAAAATTAAGCAAGATGATTTATTTTTTTTGTTTAACTTTTTTTTAGATATTTTTTGAATTATTTTTCCACTTTATTCTTAAAGGGTTTTTCTTTCATACAGAACTTGAATTTGAATGAAAATAAGATTACACTTAATTTAACTGAAGATAAGAGTTTTGAATAAATCATCATTACACATATTCTTGTGACCTCTTGTCTTTTATTGATTTACACTTTGTTCCTCGACCTTAAGCTCCTAAAATCTTCGGAGTTGAATTTTGCTTCCATGAACTCCTCACCAAAAAGCACAAACTTGAGTAGCCTAATTTTGTTTTTATTGAGATTCCATGATCAAGGTGTATAAATAAAGTAAAATATCCAATCTCGAATTGTGGATAATGAACACAAGAAATAACATCTAAATAGCGGTAACACTATTAAGTTAAATGAGATAATAATAAAAGAAGTAATTATAAATACAGAGAGCGTGTGAGTTAAAATGAGTATCCCTCATGTAGAAATGTTCACATAGAGAAATTCTAGTGATCATATCTTTAATAAAAAAATAGTCTAATACTTAAGTTCTTCATTTAAATAGTTATTAATTTTTTTTAATAATAATTAACTTCCAAAATATGTAAATTATACTTTGAATATTACATGTTAAATAGAGTTCAGCAGATCTCCGATTTGAAATTTCGTAATTGGATACAAATTATTGTTTTCTATTAAGAAATTAGGCTCACATTATTGAAATCTCATTTAGGTAATTAATTTTTCTTATAATAAAGGTCAGGATTAACTTCATTGATGAGTCTTACCATCCCATTGAATCACTTTTGTTCCTCCTATGTCCCCTTATCATAATCAATCCAAGGAGCTTACAGGCCCCAAATCTTAATAAAAACAAACTTCAACAATGGAAATATTTTCTTACTCTAAAACTCAATTCACCGGCATATGCGCAAGCCTAATTTCATGATCACAAGTATAATATTCTTTCTTCCACGACATTTTTCTTCTTCTATTTTTTTTTTTTTTCATTTGTCATAATATGTATATTGATAAATAGGGTTGTCAACTTAATTCATGATCCTAAAATCATTGCTAGTAAACTTTTAAAAAAGTCTTCTTCTAGAAGATTCTCTTTAGTGAAAAAGAAAGCCTTCAATCCTCAAAATTCTCACTTAAATGGGTTAATGGATTTGATCTGATTGTAAAACCTTAATTAATTTTTAAAAATAATATATTAATTAAAAACAATATCCTTTGTGTACATATAAAACTATATATTTTATTAGATAGCTAATAAATTTTAATTTTATTATATTTAAATCAATATTTTTATGTTATATTTATTCTTATTTATTAAATAAAATATATAATATATAATTTAATATAGTTATTGATTATAATCTATTGTTTAAAAAAACATTTATAACATTTAATAAAATTTCAAATATTATAAAAAAATCATAAAGTCTAACAAAAAATATGAAAATTTTAAATTATATCTAATAAAATTCATACTAAAGTTTTTTATAATTATTGAATATCTATTTAGATATATATTTATTATATATATTATTAAAAAAATAATTAATATAATTAAAGTATAAATTTAAGTTATATATTAGAAAAACATATAATAAAAAATTAATAAATTTAATATTCATAATTTATTAATTTAAACTTTCAAATTGAAACACCTTATTTAGTTTTGATATAAAATTTAGACCAGATTTTTTTACAACAAAATTAAATAACTATTTTAAAATATATTTAATCAATTAAGAATTTAAAAGTCCTATATTATTATATAATCTTCTTATATGTAAGCAAACAAGTTATTTTATTAAAATCTTTTAGAAAAGTTGTTAGTCTAATTAAAATGTATATATATAATTATTTAACAAAATAAAAATATTTAAATTAATGATAAATTAAAAGTTAATTGCATTTTAAAATGAATATTTAAAAAAAAAAAAAACTCATAGTCTGATCTTAACTCATAAGTTTTTTGTGAACATTTTGATTTTATGAGTTTTTTCAATAGGAAGCTTCTTTGCACTGTGGGTATTTTTTTACCCTTTTTTACCCTAGGTGAGGACCAAAACATAAGAGGGAACCAAATTTACAGGTCCAGATAGATATGGTTCTACAAGGCAATGCATGGAACCCTATACCTCTAATGGCAAATCTCCAAATTCAAAAAATAAGGAAAAGGCAAGTGCAGAACTATAGACGATCTTCATAATATTATTTTCTCTTATACCTTCAATGAGTGAAGTATGAACATCTAACCTACAGAAGACTGTCTACATAAGATATTTCATTATGTTGATTTATTAATATTTAAGGTTAAATAATTGCACATTTACTTGCTATAAGGCAATTACTTGCCACATCCAAATTTCAACTATTTCCTGCCTCCTATCTTATTATGTATTGTGCCACGTCTTACTTCACTCTGGCTGGATCAGGATTAACTGATTTCTTTATACAGTCTACTATTCCTTCACAATCTACTTCCAGAGCACAGGCTGAAACATCATCAACATCCTCTGCATATGAATGAGGTGACCGGAGGTTACCATGGATTTGACAAGCCTTCATTGTCTTACAATGTTCAGCTTCGTCATCTCTGATATTTAAAAATACGTCGTACAGATTGTCTGAATGACAAAAATAAACTATTAATCATCAATGTGATAATTTTTTACAGCAAATTCCAAAGTCCACTGCAAAGAAGCATTTTTTTGTTCTTAAGAAAATAATTATACTAGAATAAAGGGATTGCACAAAACCACAACAATGAAATTTCAGTACAAATATTTCCACTTCAGGACAGGAGCAATTAACAGCACAAATAATATTCAGTGTTCAAAAAGTGATTAATGATCAGCCCATTTAAAAAACTTGAGCCATTGATTATTCTGAAGGACCTGTGCTAGAAAAATCCCCTCCCCAGACACAACAGTTCAGATTAGAATATTAGTAAAAAAAAGTAATGTTGGACCAGGTTCCAAAGTGTTGATATAAAGCATACCTATCTTAGGTCTTCTAGAATTTGGAACTCTGGAAGTCTGAAATTCATCTGAGGAAAATTATGTGAAGTGAGAATTCCAGGTTTTTCCTCCAGAAGAAACCCCAGTTCATAAAAGAGAAAAAAATTTATAAAAGCTTACCAAATAAATACAAGTCATCTCCTGTATAATATTTCACAGCAACCTCAGGAGGCGGCATTTTTTTCAATTCCTCTGCAAAAATTTTACCAAACCATGTTAGAGTTATTTAAGCTCCTGGCACAAATAGACACAATAAAATGGGTATGGGAAGGAAAGAGGAACAATCTAATAAGGAACTTTCATCATCAAATAAAATCACTAATATTATGATTGAATAAAAAATTCAGTATCTGTTTTCTTTTCTGTTGGCTTATACAACAAATAAGGTGATTTCACGCCCAATTTAATCCAAGGCGGAAAATGAAAAATGTAAGCATTCACATAAAGCTAGAATAACCACTGCCTGTCAATATTAATCTATGCTACGGGCTAACTGCTTTTCTGGTCTATAAGAAAAGCATAAAACCAACTATAAACAAAGAATAAAAACATAAATGAAAAAAAAAAGACAAAAGAAATATCCATAATACCTCCTTGGACCTTGATAAATTTGTCGTAAGTTTCAAATGCATGACTCTCTACACATTCAGAAAAGTGATCTGCGGCAGAATGAACCATTCACAGAATCAATAATTCAAGAACCAAGATTCCAAGTAACTAACAGTAGAATATAATTCAATCAAACATGGTGACTAAATATTGATAATTTAGAAAAGGCAACCAAGGAGTTGCTCCATTCTTGTTTGTTTGTGCTGAACCGTTACTTTGATTGTTTTAACCTCCTCATTACAGTTTAATATCTTCTGTTTATCTCTTTTTTTATCAGTTATTAGGGAAAACGAGGCACTCCATGACTCTATATTCTTTAAAAACTAAATCAATGAAAAAAAAAAACAAAGTGACAATGAAGGTTAAAGAATAAATTATTGGTTTGTGGTATGCTATTGGAAGATTGGAGTGATTTTGAAGAGCGTGGGAGGAAAATAATCATTCACAATGATAGTTACAAGGGTAAAATAGGACATACAAAATTTGTACCCTAAAACATCATATCCCTTTTTATATGGGTATAGATGCCTGAGAAAAAAAAGGCCATATGGGAGTTGAGGAAACTTTTTGCAGATACTCTTCCTTTGCTACTATTACTGGTACAACCAAGTAAACAACCAGTGACAATAGTAAAGGAAGAGTAGCTGCAAAAGTTTCCTCAATGTGCAGGCAACTTCTATATTTTCAATCAAACAATTGGGAACTTTTCACTTGATGTCTTAAAAACTCCTCACATGATCACTTAAAGATAATATAAACAACAAAATAAAAGATGTAACACTAGCAGCAACTGCAGTTAAACAAAATTCAAGCATTTAATACTTACATGCCATTCTTGGGCTTATTGCATACATTAAAACTGTCATAATATAGTAAAATATTGCTATATGCTGAGCAAGGAACCGATCAAACCACCAAGAATTCCCTCCTAGTTCCTGCAGTCAGACGACCAAGCTTATCATCTCATGCAATAAAGTACATAAGAAATAGAGTCACAACTAATGCATGTGAAACTACAAAACTTGCAAAGGCCTCTCCCCCTAGAAATATACTTTTACCCTCTATTTTCATTTTAAGGGCCCATTCGTCATACCAAAAATATAATATTTTTCAATTTTAGTGCAGATAAACATTGTATGTTGGTTGGTGCAGGAAAAACAAAGCTTTTTTCTGAAGACATTACACTTTGTTGATACTGTCATTGCACGACAGTTCAATAAAACAGAAAATTACAACCATTACAGGAGTAAAAATTGACTTCTCCTAAACTTAACAGCCAACAAAAAATAGTTAGAAATGCAACATTCTATGGATGCACACCAATGTTAAAAATAACTTTCTGATATTCGTTTTTAATTTTTGTTTGACTTTCTAGTATTTGTGTGGAATTTTTTTGCAGAAAACATGTTCTGTTATTTGGTACCTCAAAACAACTTTCAGAAAGCAGTTTCCAATGTTTGCTGTAGTGATAAAAATGAGCATAGCTTCCTGACCAATTGTTACAATCCATTGAAGATGGGCTTGAACAAAGTATAAATAGCTTTGATCTGAACAAAGGATAAATACTGAATTCTTTAACTATCATATTTTATCCCTAAAAACAAAAGGAATAAAACATGCCAGCTGAATACATTTTCCCCTACCAAGTTATCATTGACAAAAGTAAGCATGGGTAAGGAGCACATTTACGGGACCCCAATCATTATCTTCAAACTGGCACATAGTAATGTACGACTAATTTTCCCTTCCCTTAATGTAAGTGATCTCCTCAATTTTCTTACTTTCAATAGGTCTTCTGCTCCAACGGTTAAGTTTATTCATAAATTCATAATACATTCAACTACTGGTCCTCTAAAAACAAAACAACTGTTGGATGGAAAACTAACAAAATTTGCAGGCTGGAATGAAATATTTTCGCAGAGATCTTACTTCCATGATGAGCAAATGATGCATTTCATTCCAGCTCTCAGCAAAATGTACTTTCAGATAATCTGCCCGCCTCCACCATCCAAAACTCTCGTACATATGGAGAACTGACATAAAGGCTGCCATAGATAACAATACACAAAACTTCATACCGAAAAGTCACAATGAAAATTCCCAGGGACTCTATACATTTACAAATAAATTAAGTTCAAAATTGACTGTGATGCTCAACGAGCTTGGTAATTTTTACTACAGTATAGCTAAAATATTGTAAGTTCCAAACATGGTCGTGAACTTAAGATTAAAATCAAAACCTAACATACAGTTTCAATTTAAAAAAAAAAAGGATATTCAAGTGTAGCAGTAAGGATTCCAAGTACTTACCAAAGTAAGGAACCCTGGCAATAGTCTCCAGCACATAAAACCTGGCGTAGTTTCTATCATGGTACAGAGTATCAAGTATCTTTATGACAGAATCCTGAAATTATCAGCCAAGCTGAAAATAAGTAAATAACGACTAATACTCACACCCTTCTTCGTAACAATAACAACCCCCAAAAGCAGAACTGACGAGTCAAAAAATTTCGACTGTGTAAGGTTATCTGTTTTCCGCCCAACATCAAGGTTGTCCAATTTTGATCACATCAACTTCATTTGTGTGCGGTTTCCTTCAATACCAAGGAAACCGACAAAACTGCGACCGTTTCTTAAAACCTTGCGTAAGACGCTTGCTAAATACTCTTACTCTTACGAACTCGATTAAAATGTTTTGGTAAGAAGTTGAACTATAAATAAGAATACGTAACAATACAACAGTAACTGATTCTGACAGCGAATTTTAGTTGAGAGTTGAAAGATGATAATGAAATTACCGTGAGAAAGATATTGACCGATTGTTCGACCTTGATAATCCCTTTCTCAAACGCAGAGGTGCTAATTGAGTCCACCGAAGATTTTCCATTAGTGGTGTGAAGTGGAGATGATTTGGAGGGGAAGGAGTCCTGCACGATCACTTTTTCCTCGTTATCCTGAAGGAGAGAAGCGCGAGCCCTAGAGAATATGGAATCAGAGAATGAAACTGAAAAAAAGGAACAAAAGAAGGAAGGTTAGGGTTACGAACTTGAGAAGTGATGAAGCGGTATGAGTTCGAGGATGAGAAAATGGTTTGGGGAGACAGGAGGAAGCAAAGAGTGAAGAAGAGAGAATCGCCGCCATGGTTGAGAGGGATAGAGAGGTGTGTGTGTGTGTGGAGAGAGAGAGAGAGAGAGAGAGAGAGAGAGAGAGAGAGAGAGAGGGAGAGAGAGAAATTAACGGCCTTGAATAGAAGAAAGGAGAACGACAGGGTGAGAGGTCCACGGAGGCATTAGATTTATCAAATGCCCCATTTACGGCAATTCCGGCGACTTCCCGTGCCCCTGTATTGGATATTCTTTCTGCTCAGTTTTCCTTATTTTGTTTTTTTCTTTCAACTATACAAAATTCGGTATTTCGTTGTCTTTTCACGGAAAATTTTAGTTTAATCGACCTTTGGGTTCATAGAATATATGTCACAAAAATTAAAAACTAGTTATATGTGAGGTAATAACTTCTAGCCTTTTCTTCTTTCTATATCTTAATATGTAGAACAGGTTTGGAGAGTAAAGTATATATAATCCAATATTTTAGATACCGCACGGATCATAAAAAATAATTTTATGAAGTTTGATAGGTGAATTATACAAAAGAAAATGTTTAATTTTATTATTTTAGGTTTATATAATGTATAACCGTACAATCATATCTACATGCTGAATCAATCATCATTTGATTGATCAAATAATTAAGTTATCATAATATTAATACTAAAATTAATTAATTTAAAACAAAACACAATTATTAATAATTGAATCGTGATTAAATTGTTGTTAATATATAATTAGATTGTTCTTAATTCAATACTTACCCAAAAATTACATATAAATTTGAAATAGAAAAATAAATGATTATATTTACTACATATTAATTACTGTATACATGTTCATTGATCAGTAATACCTTTCACAAATACTAATGAATAAAAAACTTAAACTTGCATATTAAAACATAAGAATAAAACACAACCTCTATGCTAATTACAAAATTAAGATTTAACTTTTTTTCTTAAAATATTTAAAAAATAAAAGTTGATTAAGAATAATATAAATAACTCAAGATTTTATAAAATATGTAACACTTTTGTTATGCATTTATTACTGTATCCTATCGATAGTCATTTCTATTTTACTGTAAAATAGAGAGGTTCGGAAGTGTCATCTATTTTCTAATTAGCATATAACATATGTTATAACGTATATCGCACAACCAAAACACCAATTAACAAAAAAATTGTGATTGAAATTAAAAAGAATGCCAAAAATGTATTCTATTTTTCTATTAACTAGGTTAGTTCACAAATTTCGAATTTTTTAAGTTGTGAAATTACATATTTACAGTTAAAAAAAATTTTCCCAATAATTTATCATGGGAAATCTATGTAATATATATATATAATAATTTTGGTTAGTATATTTTACAAAAATCTATATTTTTTAATTATTTATAATTTTAAGTTTTAAAAAATATGTTTGATAACAAGTCACTTAGGCATTGTTCACTTGAATGAATTTGAGATGATTTGAAGGTACATTTTTTGTTGTTTATTTGAGTGAATTTGGAGGTAACTGAGAGTGAATTTGGAAATAAAGTTTCTGAGAATTAGTGTAGAATTTGTGATCCATTATAAAAATTTACTTCTAAATCCACCTTCACTTACTTCCAAATCCACTCAAATAAACAAAAAAAAATTTACATTCAAATCATCTCAAATTCATTCAATCACTCTCTTTCAAATCTAGTCAAGTGAACAAAATGTTAATATTCCGTTCGATTTCTATCCCTAGTCTTTATCATATGTCTAAAGCAACAAAAAATTAAAAATAGTTAAACTAAAAAATAATAAAGTAAACTATATTTAAAATTCAGAGATAAAAAATATGTAAAAATTCAGAAGTTAAACTATAGATAATTAAACATTAAATAACAAAATTGTAAAAGAAAAATAGAAAGCTAAATGAGTGGTTTTTATAAAATATATGACGAAAGGTACATTTAAGCCTAGCGAATATAATTAAATAAAGATGAGAATAAGCGAGAAACAAAAGGACGGAAAAATTGGCATTGGACATTTAGAAAGGGTTTCGTAAGGAAGTTAAAGTGTTGGCAAAAATAGGAGGCAGGTAATGGTAGGTATATATAAGTTGTGAAAAGGATTTATTATTTGCAAGTTTGTATACGTGTGTGGTGGTTTAATGCAGGAACGCCCAACAAACATTTGTGAGCTGTTCATTGCTCTCATCAAGATCAAATCCTAACACACCAGTCTTTACGTGCCACTTTTCACGCGGTTGGCTCCTGCATGTCTTCTAACTAAGTTCCTTGCACCAAACAACAATTGCTCTCTTTCTATTAACCCAATCATTTTTGGAAGTCTATTCAGGTTTAAAATAACTATAAACAAATAAGTATAAATAAAGCTTTTTCTGATTTAACATTACCTAGGATTATATGTAATTGATGTCAATTATAATTGTTTAAACTGGTATTGATTTAGGTTATATAAGTGGTTAGAACTTTTTGTTTGACCTTTTTTATCAATTGGCAAAAAATTATAGTTAATGCTATTTTGAATGGCTTTTTTCCGTTAATCTTAAAAAAAAAAACCTAATCAATATAAATATATATTTATTAGATTATGGTTTATGTCCTTATTTTGTCTGTCATAAATATTTATTAAATTATGGTTTATGTCCTTATTACAATATGTATATCATAAATATTTATTAAAATATGGTTTATGTCCTTATTATAATATCTCTGTCATAAATATTTATTAAATTATAGTTTATGTCCTTGTTACAATGTCTATCATACATATTTATTACATTATGGTTTATGTTCTTATTACAAAATGTCTATCATAAATATTTATATTTAAAATCTCAAATCACTGATTTTTTTTATCAAAAAAATCTTTCTCTCTTGTATAATAAATACACAAAATTGAACAATAAATAAATTATAGATTTTAAAAAATTTACTTTTGTTCAACCATCAATTTTACTCTATTCTTAGAGGTACATTATCTAAGCATCATTTTAGTAGCAAAATTAACTCTTTTCTAGCGTGTAACTTGCTTAATCTTCGTCTTTTGTCTTATTTTCTAAATAAATGTGTTTTTGGTTACATTGGTATAAATTCATCACTAATCCCCTTATTTTGTAGCTAAAACTATGCTTCGGAGAATCTCCAACAATGTAGAGAACTAAACCAGCCACAAAAGCAAGCAAATCTGCAGAAAAACCAGACCAAGAAGTAGTGTTGTTGAGCCTAGCTGGGGCGCCCCTGGCTCAAGGGCGGTGGAGCGCCACTGAATCATGATTGTCGCGCGCTGGGCGCCCCTGGCTCAAGGGCGCTAGAGCGCCACTGCATCATGATTGTCGTGCGCTGGGGCGTCCTCCACACAGGGGCGCTGGAGCGCCAATTTTTGCTGACATGGCAGATTTGTCTATTTAACTTAGAAACGCGAAGGGCTTTGGTCTTTGGTTTTTCGGAGGCGCAATTTCACTGCTGGAGCTCATGGAGGGCGTGAGGAGCTTATGGGAACATCTCCTTCTCTTCCTTTGGGTCTCCTTCTTCTTCCATCCATGTTTGTAAGCTCTAAGGTTCTCCATGGAAGTGGAGAACCAGATTCATCTTGTTAGGGTTAGATGTAGCCTATGAATTCTTGTGTAATGGATGATTGATTCGTATTTATATATGCCTTTTCTATCAATTGTTAGTATTCTTGTTTCCAATCTTAAAGATTGCATGTAATAGGAATGTTCATGACTTGATTTTGGGGTTTCATGGATTATGGGGATGTAAGATGGAACCTTGAACTGAAACAAGAGTCCTTGTGGTTAATTGATTCTAGGCATGGAAGATAATTCACATGTTGTCTTAAGATCCTAGCTCTTTAATGCGGGTTTGCTTGTTAGATTTTCCAAGGGATTGGGGTTTAATAGGGAAAACCTAGGCTCTTTCACCTAAGGGATTAGGGCTAGAGTGTTTTTGTGGATTGATTTTAGTAAATTGATGGAGAGGATATGAAATTGGGTAAGCACAAGAGTGAAATAGGTGAAAACTAACCTTAACAATGTCATTTCATACCATTTCTAGTCTTGTCCATATCTAAGTGTCTTTAATGACCAAAGTACAATGATTGTATACTTGTGAATTTATCTTGTTGCACATATTTATAAATGAATGTTGTTCTATTGAGTCTAGATGAGTTGTTAATCGCACAATTCTCTAGTATTACGAGTCTCTTGGGAAAATGATACCTGGTCTTACCATGGTTTATTACTTGAATCGATTCGGTGCACTTGCCGAAATCACCCAACAAGTTTTTGGCGCCGTTGTCGGGGACTCGATGTTTAAAACTAGACTTTTGTGTAATCTTTAACCGATTTAGATTTTATTCTTTTGTGTATAATTTTTTGTTTTATTGTAATTATTATCTTTATATTTTTGGGCTAACTTGTGGCTCGAGTTTGGTTGTTCTCTAGTATATGCAGGGAAACATTCGTACAAGGAGGACCCTGAGATCGAGAAAACAGCTCGCGGAAACAATAGTGCACAAGGAGACGACGAACCATAAGTCAAGAAGCTGCCCCTGAATCTTCACGTTTTTTCAACAATCAAACACTGAGATGCTTAATACTTCTCTATTGAACGAAATGGATGGCACAAGACCACCTCCGAGGAGAACCATAGGGGACTCTATTGCTTACACTAGCCCAAGGAATTTCTCAAGCATTGTGAGGCCCACTATGAGTGACAAGCTGGCAGAAATGAAGCCTGCTCTACTCCAGCTGATCAGTTCAAATCAATTCTCTGGCATGGACAATGAAGACCATCATGCTCATTTGGTCACTTTCTATGAATTGTGTGGCTCAGTGGGTGTAATGGGGGAGGATGAAGAAGCGTTGTACATGAGACTTTTCCCATTTTCTCTGAATGGTAAAGCAAAGGCTTGGCTTGAGTCACAGCCTAATCAAAGTTTGACTAGTTGGGAGGATGTGGAACACAAATTTCTTGCTCGTTTCTTTCCACCATCAAAGAGCACAGAGATAAAGGCTGCAATTGGTACTTTTGTCCAAGGAGTAAATGAACCACTATGTGAAGCTTGGGAAAGATTCAAAGCTTTACTGAGAAAGTGTCCCAGCCATGGATTCAGTCTAGAAATGCAAGTGCAGACCTTCTGCAATGGTTTGCAACCTCATACTAAGATGACACTAGATGCATCTTTTGGTGGTTCAGTTCTATTCAAAACTGCTGATGAAGCCATTTTTATTATTGAAAATACGGCCTCCCCTGACATGCAGAGTCAACATGGGAGAACACAAGTACAAAGGAGAAGAGTTTATGAACTTGGCACTCAGGATGAACTACTTGCACAAAACAAACTTCTTGCCCAACAAATGGAGCTCCTAACTCAACATATGGCCAAGCTACCTCGGCAGTTGCAAGCAATGCAAGCTTAAGCTCAGTCGCATCACCAAGTTATGAGATGTAATTTATGTGGAGATAATCATCCTAATGACCATTGTCAAGTTCCTAGTAGTTCCCAATCTGAAGAAATCAATTATATGGGAAACCAAGGAAGACAAAACTTCTTCAACAACCCTTTCCCTAATCCCTCCAATCAAGGATGGAGACAAGCTCAAGATGCTTCTAGTAGTATAAATCTGTACCAACCTGCTCAACATTATCCATCTCGAAATTATCGGACTACAAAATTAGAAGAAACATTGCAGATGCTTATGCAACAATCCATCCAAAACCAGAAAAGTACTAATGCATCCATAAAGAATCTGGAAGTGCAAGTTGGTCAATTGGCTAAGCAATTGACGACCCAACAAGGTGGACAATTCTCTACAAATACTCAAGTTAACCCTAGAGAAGAATGTAATGTTATATTCACTAGAAGTGGGAAAAAAGTTGGAAGGAAAGAAAAAGAAAAAGAAAAGTCAAAAGAAGAAGAAAAGAAAAAGAATGAAAAAGAGGATTAAAGAGGAAAAGAAGTAGAAGAAGAGACTGTTGGAGGAGAAGAAGAAAATAAAGGCAAAGAAAAATAGAAAAGCAAAAAGAGAAAGAGTTTGTGAAACACCTTCCTTATCCCAACATTCCTTTTAATAAAGAGAATGAGAAACAATTGGCTCGATTCAAGCAAATTTTCAACCAGCTTGAGATTACCATGCCTCTGATTGAAGCACTGCAACAAATTCCCGCTTATGCAAAATATGTTAAGCAATTCATCAGCAACAAAAAGAAGTATTTAAATGAGGAAACAATTGAAAATTGCAGTGCCATCATGCATCAATCTCAAAATTAGGCTAAATCGCTAATCATCATAACTCACCTCACATGTCATTCCCAACCAAATCAACCCATTTTTACAAAATAATAACAAAATAGTTAGCTTGTGGACTTAAAGCTTTTAAATCAATTAAATTCTACGTACTTTAACTCACATTTGATACTTTAATTGTAGAGAGAAAAATCAAATCAATGATCTCAACACATCTAGTGATCACATACAAATAGAAATTTATCTTCAACTTGAAAGAGACACATGCAATCATGTTTTTCATGCAAGCAAAATTTTAAAATTGGATAAAAGCTTAACTACTGTGTTAGAGATTCTAATCGAAACAAAATTGTTATGCTCTGCACCAAGACTCCTATGATAATCTTTGATTTTCAAAGAAATTAGCAATGAAGTAAAAAAATTATAGAGAAGATAAAAAAAAAGAAAAAAAAAAGTTTATAAAATGTTAATCTTTTATAAAATGAATTTGACTAATTAATTTATTTTATCTATAAGCTCAACCTTTTAATAATAAAGTAATTAATTCCACTTATAAACATCATTTTTACTCTTAACTAATTTTTAAGCTCTTAAAATATCATGACTAACAAGATGTTGGAAAATAAGTATTACTTGATATATAATAATTTTAGTTATATCACTACAAAAATAAACATGATCAACTTTGCTCCAAATAAAAGCTTTGCATTTATAGAAAAACAATGTTGAGGCTTGACACCAAAACTTTGATCAAACTAATATTATTTCAGTATTAGTGAAATCAACTATATGTCGTGGCCAAAATAAAGTTGAGAATAGAATCAGAAATGAAAATCCATTAATTCGAGACAAAATAATTTTAAATATTTTATCTAGAATTTGAAATTCAAAATTATTTAATTTTAATTAATTAAATTACTCTTATAAAACTATAGAATTTTAGTTTTTTAAATTTCCTACTCAAACAATTTCTTTTGTGGTAAAGCATTTTAAATTCTTTGCAAAAACTTAATTACTAGTTAACATTCTGTCACACTATTAACTTATAAGTAGACGAGTTGTTGTTTGATTGAGTTCGGCAAAATTGGTTTTGATAGAATTGACCGAAGATGTGTCTGCATTTTTCATCATATTAAATATTTTAATGAAAAGAAAGTATTTTTTTAATTGAAAAGTGCACTAAAAGAAATAAAAATATTGCCAATTTGATTTTCTGAAGCAAACGCGCGGAAACTGTTTTGACATGTCCCACATTGCTCGCGAGTTGGCGAACCCATAAATGAGTCAATTTGGGTTGAATAATAACATTTCTTATTCGAAAGTCAGGAATGACACCAATTTGTGAATTATTTTCTCTCTCGCAGTTTTACTAAAATACGATGACAGCTATAATGGGATTGGTAACGCTGACATCAATATCACAGCGATCATTCAGCTATTAAGTTCCTCTGAAAGAGTCCATCCTAAACCTTTAACTAATATGAAATATTCAAAAGAGGGACACAAGACATTGCATTATTGTTGCAGTTTAAACTTTAGAAGACAAGTAAAGAGTTTAGAGAAAGCGACACCATTTACATCCAAATTAAGATCCCTTACAGTACTTCAGATTACAATTGTCAACACAATCACATTCACACCCTTTTGGATTTCTAGTTCCATGTCCTTTTATCTGATTCTAGTGCATGCCTAGATTTCAATTTCGAGGCCATGGAAGAGGAAAGAGGGAGTTTCCTGCCGAACAACAAAGATGAGCTACTACCACTTGATAGAACAACAGAATTGAAGAACTTCAGATCATACCTGAGATGGGTTTACGTGGATCATTCCAACGTGTGCAAAGCTGGTTTCTCGTGGTCCGTGTTCTTCACCTTGGCCTTTGTTGTGCCCATACTTTCACACTTTTTGCTTGATTGCCCCACCTGCGATCAAGATCATACTCGACCGTACCACATACCAGTGCAGATTTCTCTCTCCATCTTTGCAGCCCTCTCTTTCATCAGTATTTCTTCCTGGGATCGTAAATATGGCTTCAGCAAGTTTCTCTTCCTTGATAAATTAGGTGATGAAAGCCTCAAGATTCAACGAGGGTACTCGGAACAGATGCAGGTTTTTGTTCTCTTTCCTCTTTTTTACTTTTCCCGTTTTTTTGGTATGAGTTCTATAAGCAATTCTGAAGTGTCCCTTGTTCAATTTTTTGTTTGACTCACCCAATTACAACGCTTGTGTCCGAAGTGCCAAAAAAAAGTAAAGAACACTACTATGAAACATGTTCTTAGTTATCACTGATTACAGGATTTCGTGATATGAGTTTTTAAGCTTAAGTAACACTATCAAATTTCAATTCAAGTATATATATACCAATACCACCAAATATTAGAGTTTGATTCTAACTCTATTTTCTCTTCCAATTTCTACATATCATTCATTAATACTATACTTTTATTTTTTATACAGTCCAGCCCTCATTTATTTGCAATAATTAATTAGCATATCCTCTGAATTGGCATGCAAGAGGGAGCACAATAGTGTTGTTTTGGCAATTACATTATCAGTCTTATGTGATAAATACTTGGTCAGTGTTGACTAATCTGTTTGTTAAAGAACACTCACTGGTCAACGAATATCAGCTGAGAGGATCACTTGTTGGAGAATAAATTTAACTGGCATTATTCAACATTCATGCTAACTGGGCCTAATTATGCAGGGAACCATGAAGCTCATCTTGAGGTGGGGGCTTCCCTGTTTCATAGCAGAATTTGCCTACAAGATATGGTGGTACGTCTCAGGAGTTTCACAAATACCACATTACGGTAATATATACGTGAGCAGCATCATTCTGTGCACATTTGAGCTATGTTCCTGGCTTTATAGAACCTCCATTTTCTTCCTGGTGTGTGTCCTCTTTCGACTTATCTGCTACCTGCAAATACTCAGACTAGATGAGTTTGCTCGAGTTTTTCATCGAGAAACTGAGGTGGGGTCAATCTTGCTGGAGCACCTTAGATTGAGAAGGAATCTTCGGATCATAAGCCATCGTTTCCGAGTTTTCATTCTATCTTCTCTGCTTTTGGTGACAGCAAGCCAACTCATTTTTTTGCTTATGGTTACAAAAGCCCATGCAGATGTTGATATCATGAAGTCTGGAGAACTTGCGGTAAAGCCTCTTCACTCCATTTATGACTCCCATGGTGAACAGATCAATCATGTTCTTATTCAAACAACAATATGTCATCACAAGCTTCCTTGCAAAGCTAATTAAAATAAGTAAAAATCATGGGTTTATAAATTTAGAGTTTACTACTGATAATGTAAAGGTCTTTTATATTATTGTCCAACCACATATTATGGATCATTTCTGCTTAGTTAACTGTACAACAAATTGTACTTTACAAATGTTTTGAATTTTCTTCATAAGGGTCATTAATTGAGAATTCTACTATGCTTTTGTGCAAAATGTTTGGCATGGTTCAAGCAGTAAATAGTACAAATAGAATGTAATAGGTTGTGTTTAATGTTGCAGTTAGTGTCGATCACCCTGGTGAGTGGACTTTTCTTACTCTTGCGAGGTGCAACCAAGATCACACATAAAGCACACTCCGTTACAGGCCTTGCAGCTAAGTGGCATATATGTGCTACCATAAATTCATTTGACAACATTGATGGAGAGACACCAACAACTGCGCAAGCAATTTCAGCCCAAGCTATTGCTGCCAATATTAGTTGGGGATCATCGGATGATGAGGTGGGAGATGAGGAGGACGAGTTGGATAACACAAAATTGCTGCCAATTTACACCCAAACAATCTCATTCCACAAGAGGCAGGCTCTAGGTAAGTGGGGAATTTCTATGTGGTAATTTTCTTGTCTAATGTATTAGCCCAATTGCGTTTTGTCCTGAGTTATCTGGCTTTTGATGCAGTGACATACTTGGAGAACAATAGAGCAGGAATCACAGTGTTTGGGTTCATGCTTGACAGATCCTGGCTCCACTCCATTTTTGGCATTCAAATGGCTCTTTGCCTTTGGCTACTTAACAAAACAATTGGTGTTTAGGGACAGATTGTAACTGTTGTTATGTGATTCCTCTTATCTTGTTTGTTGTATATTTCTTTTTTTATTTTCAACCGTTCATTTGGATCTATCTGGTTGTGATCTGTGAAATGTGAACGATACACGTTTGCACCAGATTTTGCTTAGACTATTTTGAATGTGACTGCATGTTCTACTACAGTACAATGGAGCGAATTCTAGTATCGGATGACACAGGTACAGGTACAGCACATCGAATTGCAGTGGCATAAACAAGCTTTTGGTTGTAATACATGACTGAAACATAAGTGTTCATTCGGCTTATCGATCAAAGCAAAATAGATATTAATAGTGTGATAAAACATATTCACGTACGTAGATTTTGTATAATTTTTTTTTATTCATTAATAACTAAAATTATTTGATATCCTAGAATTAGAAAAGTGAAAATGTATCAGCTCCTTTCCACTTCTGAGCAAAAGCCTATATTCAATCGCAAAGAGTGGACTGTGATGCTACGTGTGTCAATCTGGATCCTTACCCTTTTAAGCTTATTTTATTGGCGTTTTTATTATTATTTATTTAGCTCGCCATCTCATCTGAAACAAAGACCTATTTGATACAACTCATTTGGAGCTGGATCCTTATAAATCTTAATCTTTGTTATTTTCCATTTTAGCTACAGATACTTTGGGACATTAATTTTCCTTCCCTTTTTACTTAATAGTTTTCCCTTTGCATCTATTTTTTTTTTCTAAAAGTATATTTTTGAAAAATTAATATATTTAACATATTTTTGAGTATCATGTGCTATTATATTAAGACAGTAGAACTTCCATCTAATTTAATCATTTCAATATATTATATGTAAGATTTTAACATGTTTCCACCTCTAAGACCATCACCTCTCCATCTTTGGTGAAATTCAAACTTTCACATTAAACTCAATAACCAATTATTCTATATTACAAACAAATTATACATTTATTACAGCTGACATTATTATTATTCTCTCACATTGTTCCTCAAGAACATTTCGCAAGTGTACCAAATAGTTATGGTAGTAACAAAATAGCGTCTTCTCGAATTAAATCAGTTGAGTACTAGATTACTAATTCATGTAATTTTGAACAATAGAAAATCAAATAAAATAATGAACATAAACAATTGATATAAACTAGGATAAAGAATTGATTTTATACGCTTTCATATAGATTCCTACAATTTTCAATTGATGTGCGAATTAGAATTATCCACTTGAGTTTATTAAGAGTTTGTTTATTACTAATTCCTTAGGTAGGCAAACTTGTCCATTGAATTCTAACTCCTAATCCTTAAAGTCAATTACAAAATTCAATAAAACGATGAGGAACAATTATTATCTCAACAACAAACTAATTAGCTATGTCCAATTTTTCAGTTCTGACACGTAATATGTTTTGTTTATAATCGCAAACAATCCCCAATTTTCCAATCGTGAAATTGCTCATAGAAGAGACATTAGAATATGAATAGAACACTGAGATAACTAAAATTAACTAAACATAAGTTGAAAAGGTTCAAAAATTATAATCCAAAGTATTACATCAATCCTTTAAGAAAAAGGAAAATTAGTTCTTTATAATGTAAAATTCACAAGAAACTAAAGGAAGAAAAATAAGTATAGAATCCATTTTGTGCTCTCTGATCTGCTGAGATGTTAGTAACAAAAATTGCACTGCTCATGAAAAAATACACACAATTTGCTTATGCTCTACTCTGGTTTCAATTTCACAAGTTACGAAAAAAATCACAACTTAATTGTTGAACTTGCTGGATTGCATTTTATTTCTCTCGAGACAAATCCACATGTTGTGGAAACGTTCACAGCTCAATGAAACTCTATGATTTTGACTATGATTTTAGAGCAAAATCCCCAAGTTGTGAAAACATTCACAGCTAAGTTGTAACTCTCGTTTCAACTCTGCATCTTGGACATAATGTATAGAAATAGCCTAAACTAAGACATGAATACAGTTATATTTTATTCCTACATCACTTCCATTTATGATATATGGTAACTTCTACACTTCATTTTCATTTCATTGTCCAATTGCTTTATCTTTTATCATTTTTATCATTCATACAGTTAAAAAATAATACGTCGTACTTGAGGGCAACACCATGATAAAAAAAAGGTTGGAATTTAATACATATAAATTTTAAAAGTTTTATTTCTACAGGCCACTAGAAAGAAATTCTAATACGCGTAAACGAGATTGTGACAAGGTGAACAATGCTACCGAGAGCAGAACAAAACTTAACCAAGCCAACTACGAAGTCATTTCCTGTCTTTTAAAATGCCAGACCAGAAGAAAGCGACTCCTATATATATATAGAAGCTTTGTAACTACCGAATTATTTTCTAGGGCGTGGCCCCTGATTTTTGAGGTCAAATTTTTTTCATTCTGCATGTTGTTAACTTCTTGATTTTAATAATCATTCTTCGGTGACAATAAAGGATTTTAGTCCTTCCAGAAACTCTCAAAACACCCTATCTCAGAGCCACACACAGAGAGGTCAAAGATCTTTGGCCCCAATGGCTGTAAGTTTTCTCTTACTAAACATTTTACGTTCATGAACTTTAAAAACTCGTGGTAGAAACTTTGATTCCAAGGCTTCTACGTATGTTTGGATATCAAATCATATATTCGTGTTTTACAAATCTTTTGTCTATGGTTGATGATGGCAGCAACATTCTCATCACGTTCCCAAGTTTGGCAACTGGGACAGTGACAACGTTCCGTACACTGCATATTTCGAGCATGCACGCAGAGAAAAGGGTAGGATGGTGATGATGAATCCTAATGACCCAATGGAAAACCCTGAGGCCTTGAACAACAAGTGCATGAGAGTTGGTGAAAATATGGATGATGGGTATTCCCACAACGGAAATTCTTTGGAAAATGGAAGGTTTGGGGCGGTGGGGAACCACACTCAACGGCATACGCGTGGCAGGAGCAGGGGAAGTGGTGGCTCGACAACAGATTTTGTGAATGAACAAAGCCAATTTGATGACTCTGTGAGCCAGAGAAGCCCCCGATCAAATCACAAGCGGAACATATCCAAAGGAGGAAGCAGCACTAAGAGCTTCTCTTCGTCAAGTCATACTACAAGCAAGAGTAGAAACACTTCCTTTAATGACCAACCGGTAACTTAATTTTAAATTCTCTGATTGGACAATTGCATCAACATTATAAATAATTACATCTTGTTTTCTTCGTCTTGATCTTTTCTATGGTGGTGATGAAATTTGGGTTGCATGGAGCAGAACAATAGAGCACCTGCAATACCCAAATTTGGTGCTTGGGATGTCACAGATCCCAATTCAGGAGAGGGTTATACTGCTATATTCAACAAAATAAAAGAAGAGAGGCAATTCAAGTCAACCAACATCACCAATACTCCAACACTTAACAAATCAAATATTCAGAATCAGTATTCAGGATCTTTCTCCTGGTTTTCTAAGGTTATCACTTCATCATATATGTTGTCTTCTCTTAACTTTTTTTCCTCATCATTTCTCTTCTACTTTTAACCTATACTGACTATAAAAAATAACGGAAATGAAAATCACTTGAATACCTAGGTTTATACAGTAATACATATACATTCGAATTCTGAAAAAGTAACAGTTCATGAAAAATTTTAGTATAATTGGCAAATCAATCATACCTTCTTAAGTTTAACTTAATTTTACAATTGTCTCTTACCTTTATATTCTATTTTGTACTGTTTTTAAGATACGTTGACTTAAGCTTTTTGACACACTTTTTAATTATTTAAAACTTATTATAAACTACATAATTGGATGAGGAATTCATAAATTATATGTAACTTGTAATTGGTAAAATAGAATTCATTTAATGTACTTTATCTGATGTCATGAATATTTTCATAATTTGGTGCAGTACTGTTGCTGTGGTTTCCAAGCCAAAACAAATGAAGGCAGAGTCTAATGTAATGTCTCATTTGCCTCATTGACTTTGTTTGCCCCCATTTTTTGATTCCATTTATTTGGGATTTTCATCGAATGTTCTTCAAATTGTTTCAGTTTGATATGTTCGAGCTTTCTGTCATTCTAATATAATGTAATAATGTGCACATATTAATTAAGTGAATGAAAAATAATTTGTGGGTGTGACATTTTAAGACAAATGGGGAATCTTTCATGAAATAATAATTATAATAATATATATTTTCTTAACTTTTTACATAATTTTTATTAAAATAATTTAATTGGCTTTTTATTCTAAAGCGTATATAATACAAGGACGTGTAACATAATTAAGGTAATTAATAAACTTCNCTTCCAAAGTAAGGTACAATTTAGTCCTCAATCTTTAAAAAACGTTCGTTTTAGTCGAAAAAACGAACGTTTTGAGGACTAAAACGAGGACTAAAAACAAAATTTTGAGGACTAAAACGAACGTTTTTCTAAAGAATGAGGACCAAATTGTACCTTACTTTGGAAGAGGGACGAAAACCAGAAACGACCAATAGTTTAAGGACTAAAAACATATTTAACCATATTTTATATGTATGTATTATATATTTTGTATTCTCAATACATACAATCGATACTACACATATTATATATAATCCCGTGTATTCTTTGTTTATTATCAATACTTTTATGTTATTGGTTAATGCTCAATGTTAAATATTCCATTCACCCTCTTGATAAGTTTTTCAAGTATTTCATTGCAGTATTGTTTGCCAATTGATCATGTGTATTCCTTCATCCACCTTATCAATTGTGATTCACAAGCCAACATATACAGTTCGTGACAATATACTTGTTCAGTGAAGCCTATTGTACTAATTACATTTATTCCCATTTTAAAATACGTCATGGTTTTCAAGGACTTTTACGATGGGTATTTTGATTTTGAAACCTTCATTAAATTTTGCCTTATATGTTGTTTTAATTCCTATGTTTTCTCCCTAGTATAGTTGAGTGAATTCTTAATTAGTTACATGTTTTTAACTAGCGTTATTAAAATTCATTTGAAAAAATTGAGAATTAATAAGCTTACATTATTTTAAAATATCGTGCTTTTCTTAATAAAATAATATTGTTCTAATATTGAAATTATTAAATTCAACATAAATATATTAATGAAAAAGTATTTATTATATAGATTTTTTAATTAAAAGTACCGTAAAATATGATTATCGATCATATCTAATTTTAATCTTACAAAAATTGATGTGTAAGATAAGTTGAGACATACATATATCTCACATTAATATATAGTTTTACTAAGTTCAAATAACGAGGTAAAATAATATACTTAACAAATAATTAATTTTGTTAATATATATTTTAACTAATAACTTTAATATTAAGAAGTTACTTTTATGTCTAACTCAACTTTATAAAACCATGACATTTATATATTTTTATATATTATTAATTGATTTATCTATAGTATATATGAAACTTCAAATAATGAACAAATCATTTTTTTTAATAGAAATTTTCTTTTTAACTTTTCTCTTTAGAATTAATATAGTACATATTTTTACTGTATAACAAGAAACACACATTGATTATATGTTTACTTTTTTTACAAAACAAAAAACAAAATATTTTCACTATAATAATTAAAAAAAACATTATTAAAAAACATATATATATTAGTTTGATTAATTATTTTTTGTGTTTTTATCTCTTTTACATATTACAAGTTTATTTCAGTTTTAAAATATGGTATCATAGACCAATGTAGTGAAATTAATGTACACATTCTTAATTTGTTTCTTGATCACATAAAAATATCCTAAATCAAAATCTTAATCAATAATAAAAACCATCATGTCTTAAATTGTCTCAGATAAACTCATCATATATTAATTGTCTTCGTTTATACAAAATGTAATACCTTTATACAATAAGCCTAAATCAGACATACTCTAACTCTCTTATTCAAGAAGAGATCCACTTCAAACCCTTTTCAACTATATGCAATCACATGAGAAAACATACCTCATATCTTAAATTGTCTCCAATAAATGAACTCATCATATATTAATTGTCTAAAAATATAATTTCACAATAAACTCAAATCAACCATATAAACATACTCTAACACTCTCATTTAAGAAAAGATTCATATGTAATCCTTTTGAATCATTTGGAACAAAAAAAATACCATATATAAAATATTTTTAATGACTTAAAAGGATAACAAATAAATTCACTCTAATAAAAAAATTGATTAAACAAAATTATCATACTTTCTATACTATAACTTCTTCTATAACGTTTTTTATCTTTAAATTGAGGAGTAAGATTGTTAAAATTAGAAAGAATGTAGAGAAAAAAAAAACATAATAATTTTTGAGATGATGATTTTTATAAAATAAAATTTAATTAATTGATTTTTCTATTTATAAATTTAGTTTTCTAATAATAAAATAATCAAATTCATTTATAAAATACTACTTCTATAAGTTACAAATTTTTTTATAAAAATAAAATTAATAAGAAATTATATATATCAAAAGCAATTAAAAAATAATCCTAAAAGATCATCTTTATTTATAATTATATATTGTATATGTACATATGTAGGAAAAATATATGTACATATATCTTCACTTTTGTCTTTCGATTATAAATAAAATTGATTATTATTATAAAATAAAATATTATTAAATTTATAAAATATTATTATAAAATCAATATTTTTGATAATTTTGAAAATAGTTATTTAAAAATATTGAAGTAATAAAAATTAGTGAAAATGAATACTTAATTAATGATACAGTATGGTGACAAGAAACGAATATGAGCTGACAAGTGGACGGAACCTGCCAGGTCACAATGGCGCCCAAATTCAAAAGTTTGAAACAGTAACCACGACACAAAGGGTATCCAATGCAGACCTGTCCACACAATCATCCGGTGGATAAGCAATCGAACAGTCTCACATTAAACTATATCCATCTCATGGGTCCCGCTCCTAATCAAAATTAAATCACACCGAAAGTTATCACAGCTTCAAAATTCATCCTTAAATTCAAAATCAGGCTCCCGAATCGATATTTGAAACTGATAAGAGCCCGTTCTGGTTTTTGAATTCCAACGCTGAATTGAATCGAGAGGATTTTGTCGATCGATTTCCAAAGATGAAGACCGGGTCGGGTCCCAAAGAGTATCAGGAATGGTTCAATTTGGCTGATTCAGGTTAGTTCAACACTCTTTCTCATTCCATAGTTTCAGATTGAGAAGATTCTTTTTGATTTGGTGTCCGGCATTTGAATGTGGCAGACGGAGATGGACGAATCTCTGGAAACGAGGCCACTAAGTTCTTCGCTCTCTCCAACTTGTCACGCTCGCAACTCAAACAGCTCTGGGCTCTCGCTGATGTCAAACGACAGGGGTTTTTGGGTTTTCCGGAGTTCGTTACTGCAATGCAGGTGATACCTTTTAACTGTCGTTTCATTTCATTTGTTGTCGTTCTGGTTTCTGGCTCTTGAATTCAAAATTCTTCTTTGTAATAAAACAGTTGGTTTCGCTGGCGCAAGCAGGGCAAGAACTTAACTCAGATATTTTCAAAACTCAAGGTGAGTGCGTATTTTCATAATCTTCAGAAATTAAGATGGGTTTAGAATATGGATTATACTCACACGAGTGGATACATCATACATGTAAGTTCATCTCTCTGTTTTTATTGATTACAGTTGATAAGGAAAATATTAAACCTCCTACATTGGAAGGACTGGATGCTTTAGTAGCAGTAAGTTGCCTTTTTCGTCTCATCTTATGCTTTATTTATTTGTAGATCGTTTTAATTAACTCTATTGATTCCTTTTTCTTATTTATTTTTTCCCAGCAAAAGAGTTTAATAATTAGTACCCCGCCCGAACTAAATGGTTAGATATGTAACTCTTTTTAGCTAGTTATATGGTTTTATTCTTTGATCTATATTTGATTGGATTGTTTAACCTGTATTATGTAGGGATTGCTCAGCCACAAGGGTTTCCAACTAATCGGTGGTTTGGTTCAAAATCTTCAAAAAAAGTGAGTTCTGTTATTTACTTTCAGATCTTGAGGTTTGTCCAGGGTTTCATGACATTTGAATTTCTATTTTACATGCTTCTTTGCAATGAATTCCATTTTCTTCAATTAATCGTTAGCGCAGGGTATTGATTATTTTGGAGGGCATTGATTATTTTGGAGATGAAATAACCATTTCCTTTTATCTGATCCTTCTGTGATCGAAAGTCAATAGAGATATTGTACTTGAATGGGTTTTAAATAGATCTACTCAAATAAGGGCTGGAGTTACACTATAATCTTAGTTCAGTCTTATGGTGCAAATGTTCAGCTTTTTTTTTTTTTTGTTTTTTCTTCAGGGAATCCGCAGTTTTCCTCACATTTATTGATTGTTAGGAGAGAAGATGCATCATTTATTTAATATTTGTATAGTTCATGTTCTACGCCATCTACATTCAGCATTCTGATGAGTCAATGTGTACAAACAAGTACTGGAGTGATTAAATGATAATGTAGAATGTGTCTTTGTGATTATTTCTTCTCAAGTTACTGCATGTACTCTTTCTTTATGTTATTTACTGCTAAATATTTTCTAATTATAATAGTTTGTTTTGTTAGTTACCTCTCAATTCAGTTACATCAATCATTGATGGCTTGAAGAGATTATATATCGAGAGGTTAAAGCCCTTGGAAGTTACCTACCGATATAATGATTTTGTGTCTCCATTGTTGGTAAGGATGAACTATTCAGTAACATTTGTCAACTGTATTTGTAGGCGCATTGTACTTTCTCCATTTAGGATGTCCTATACCACATAAATATGGCTATAACTTAAGGAATATCTTGATTTTTCCCTTTCAGACCAACACTGATTTTGATGCTAAACCCATGGTCATGCTCCTGGGTCAATATTCAACAGGAAAAACTACATTTATAAAACATTTGTTAAGATGTGACTATCCAGGTAGGTTAAGTTTCGGTCAATCTAGGTGCTGGCTTATAAAACTGATGACTTATTGATTCTTGATCCTACTCTTACAGGAGCACATGTTGGACCAGAGCCTACCACTGATAGATTTGTTGTTGTCATGGTACGAGAAGTTTCCTTTATGTTCTTCTATTTTATTGCCTCTGGAAGTCAATAAAGGCAAAAAAGAAAAATATGTGAAAAGAAATAGAAATCACAATGTTGCTGTTGCCAAATTTTGTTTCCATAAATTCTGTTGTGTTCTGATAATGTTCGTGGTGCTTGTTTTGAAACTTTATTTATTTATAGTCTGGACCTGATGAGAGGAGTATTCCTGGGAATACCATAGCTGTTGATGCTGACATGCCTTTCAGCGGCTTGACAACATTTGGAGGTTCTTTTTTATCAAAGTTCCAATGTTCTCAAATGCCACATCCTGTGAGTCTTATTTATACTTGAAAAAAAGAATAATTTTATTATTTTCAATCATGACCATTACATTTTCCTTATCTCTCTATTTATAACAATCTAATTTTTTAAAAAAGAAAATAAGAAAACAATGAATTAAAAAATAACCTAGAAGATCATACTCGTATTTTCTCTAAGAAGATTTTATAGATATTTTCTCTAACTAAGAAGATTGTATAGACATTTTCCTAAGAAAATTCTACAGGTATTTCCTCGAATTACAACATTTATATTTCAAAGTCCAATGACTTTGTCATTTCTTGTGCTTACATAAGGAATTTTTTCTTTCAGCTGTTAGATGAAATAACACTTGTGGACACTCCTGGAGTGTTGTCTGGAGAGAAACAAAGGACTCAACGAAGCTATGATTTCACTGGTGTCGTGTCTTGGTTTGCTGCAAAATGTGATCTCATTCTTCTCCTGTTTGATCCTCATAAACTAGACATCAGCGATGAGTTCAAACGCGTAATCACGTCTTTACGTGGTAATGATGACAAGATACGAGTGGTTTTGAATAAGGCAGATCAAGTTGATACTCAACAAGTAAGACAATAATATCAACAATGTTACCTGGTTTATTATATTTATTATGTAACTTTTTGTGTACTTACATGCCTAATCGCAATATTGTAGCTTATGAGAGTGTATGGAGCATTGATGTGGTCATTGGGGAAAGTTCTAAATACTCCCGAAGTTTCACGTGTATACATTGGGTAGGTTTGTTATCTTTAAAAAATGTCGCACGTCCCACCGTTTTCCGTGTGAAAGTATTTAACCGTTCTTTCAAATTTACAGTCTCGCAGTGGTTTTTAGAATTGGCATTGTGAACATTACTAATTTTTTTTGTCGAAATAAGAATTGTAATGCGTATTGGTAAATGTGTATTCCCTTACTTGACTTCACAGCTCATTTAACGATAAGCCTATGGATGAAGACTGCGTAAGTCCATTAGTGCAGGATCTGTTTGAGAAGGAACAAAATGATCTGCTTGCAGATTTGATAGATATTCCAAAGAAGGCATGCGATCGCCGGGTATGTTCCTTACTTGCATATTATATGTCTAAGTTGAAGATTGAGTTTCATTATACGTATGCCTGTACCTCATGTCAAGTCTAATATATTTATTTCGTGTTTCAAAACTTGTTCTGTTTAAAATGGTGCAGATCAACGAATTTGTGAAACGTGCTAGATCTGCTAAAATTCATGCGCATATAATTAGCCACCTTAAGAAGGAGATGCCTGCAATAATGGGCAAAGCCAAGGCTCAACAGAGACTTATTGACAATCTTGAGGAAGAATTTACAAAGGTCCTTCATCCATCGCTTCCTCGTACTTTGGGTGCTTAATTTTCAGGTACTTACAGTTCAATGTTTTTGAAAAACAGGTCCAAAGAGAGTTTCATCTACCTGCTGGTGATTTTCCCAGTGTTGAACACTTCAGAGAAGTTTTGAGTGGTTATAGCATCGACAAATTTGAGAAACTAAAGCCCAAAATGATTCAAGCCGTTGATGACATGCTTGGATATGAAATACCAGAGCTTTTAAAGAAATTCAGAAATCCTTATGATTAAAATAGAAAATGTTATGCTGTCATGTACGTTTGCAATTGTGTAAGTTTTTTAATGGTCAGTATTGGTGGATAGTGAATGGTTTCATTCACTTTGCAATTGGATGCATTTGTCCTAAACGTTTTGTTGACTTAGAATGAGGGGTACAGCAAATGATGTAAGTTTTCATTGATCTTGATTACATGACATTAGGATCTTAAGAATTTATGATTCTCACTACATCAACATAATTACACAAGGAAGATGAGAATTTACTAACCTTGATCCATGCTAATTGGTTCTTGATTTCCTTGCTCTAGATCTTCAACTCCTTACCCAATCTATCCCTTGATGCTAACTTAATTCTCTCAAGACTTTCTTGATGGTTTAATGGAAGAGAGAGCTTCTTTAGAATTGTGTACATCAGGGACAGAACCCTTCACTATTCTTATACAACTTCCATCAAGTTGTAATTGCCATTAAGTCCCTCAAATATATTAAATCACATTTTAACCCTTATTTATTTTCACATGAGTCACTTAATAGTTGGGTAATTCTAACAAATGAAGCATTTCTTCTAATGCTCTTGTGAATGTGTTTGTCCTCAGTGCTGACTGGGACTACTGGAGTTGAGTTGGATTGTCCAGGTCCAAATAACAATAGTAAGAACATGAGCTATCAATGGAAGTCATTTTCTTTATGATTTATATGTTGTATAGGATGTTTGCACATACATTTGTTTTTTTATTAGACATGCTTTATAATATAATGTATATATAAAAAACCTATTTTCGAAGGTACGAGTTGTCAAAACATGCACATCGAAGGTCACGGAAAAATATAAAGAAAAGGCTAGAATAGATAGTAGACTTTTGGCTAAAAGTAGGATTTCCAAATATAGTAGTTGTCTGAAGACAGGAATTTCATTCTACTGTTACTGAGAGAAATAAATGCATATGGTAAGAATTTTAGAATTGCGGGTAGAGTTTGGACACTTTTACTTTTAATCTTTCTAGTACGAAATATGTTGAATTTTATTTTCTTGTAGTATTGTGCATGATAAAAAAAAGGATAAAGTAAAATATATGCCTTTTATTTTCAATAAAAATGAAAGTAAATTCATGATATCATCACCTAAAAGTGCAGTACTTTCAACCTATGGTATTAAAGAATATATTATAAAAATGTTCAGTGGTTTAATACCTTTTTATTAAAATAAATTTTACTTAGATAATTTATTAAAATATTTCATCAATCAAATTATATTATCATAAGTATTGATATTCTCATTATGTTAATTTTAATTGTATAAACATCTGAGGATTAAATGTATTTTTATCTCTAAAATAAAGCATACAAGTTTAATGTCCGTGATATTTATATAATCCATTAAATATATTATATTTAAAATATAAAGAAGGTTTCGTGTGTAGTAAAAAATAAGTTAACTGAAATTAATTATTTCAAACATTTAATCAACAATATTGATCTAGTTTATCTAATTAATTCAATAAAAAAAGATTAGCACTTGATCTTATATATTGGTTTGTCAATTTATAGTCATCTTTCTTTTTAATGCCTACTAACAACTTAGATTTAGATAATATAATAGCTACTAAAAATCTTCATGTGATACAATATTTTATCTATGTATTTAGGACTATTAGTGGAGTTTGAAATCTCATTATACTTAAAAGTGACTCAATGTTTACACTATAGTAAGATACATAGTTTTTACCACATTGTTAATAGTCAATTCACATAAATAATTCACATTCAATTATATACTTATGATTATTAATAAATCTCCCAATTTTAGTATATATATACTCAATCCTCATAATTCATGATATATCTCTTACACAATATTTTATTTTTATTTTTCATAAAGTATCACTATTTATGTTTCACCAAACTCTATATATAACAATTTAAAACAATTATACCGCTCTTTTAATTTTAATAAACCAAGAAAAGAGAAATCCTTTCACAAATAGAGGTGACTATTGGAACATAATTCACATGAATGATCGAAACTGTAGAAAAATAATAATATTTAGACAACATTTTTCTCATACAAACTATCATTCATAGTTTAAGCAACATATATTTCTCATACAAGCTATCATCCATTGTTTAAGTAACATATGGTTGTCTATTTCAATCAAAACAATGTTTTTCAATCCAAAGTAAGTTTTCCTCTATACATTATTCAAACTACGCATATTCTAATTCAATTAAGTTTAAAACAAAAATTTTATTAAATAACATAAGATCCAAAATCAACTTCAAAATCTCAAAAAAAAAATACAACATCAATAACTTAATTTAAATTAACAGATATAACTAACTAACTAACTATATATATAAAATCAATTCTTTTTACAATAATACTTCTAATTTCATCATAATTTTTGTGACACAAAATAAACAATTGACCATTCATATCTCAATTTAACAACAACACAAATATAATTAAATTTATAAGTATCTATCTTAAATTTTGATCTCTTGAAATTTTATTCTCTGTATTATCAATTTCCAAAATAATAAATCAAATAGTTTCAATGATGATCTTATTTTTTGTAATCTTTAATTGATCTAAAGACTAAGAAAAAATAAATAAGTCTTGACTAGCTCTACCAATAATATCTAATTTACAAACCAAACATATACAAACATAAACTAGTTGAGATTTATCTTTTTAACTTAAATATCACATACAACTACACATACTCTTAATACATGCAACAAGAAATAATATATATATATATATATATGATTAAAAGAAATTACTTATAATAAAAAAATTATTCAAACCAATGTCTAATACTTTATCATCTCCTTATTTGTAAGTTGTGATGAAAGAAAAGATGTGAAACCATTTCAAAAGTATAGAAAAAAAAAACTAAAAGTGTTATATTTATAGAGATAAAATATTTTAGATAAGTAAAAAATAAATTTATCTCTTATTATATACAACTTTTATAACTTTTAAATAACAAAATATTTATTTATTTTTATTTATTTTATTTTAAAAAAATCCTATAAAATATATTAGTAAGAACTGCAACTAAATTTTCTATGTAGGATCAAAACAAAAAATAATTAAAAGAAATAAAAAATAAAGCTATAAAAAATATTTTAGTGGAACAAACAGTCAAGATAGTTTTTTTAGGAAAAAAAAAAGTAAATAGGAGTATATTTTAAGGATATTTAAGCCAACATTTCATTCATATTTTCAAACTTGAATCAAACACATTCCGTTTTGCTTTATTTGATGGAAATGTACCTTCCTTGTCTTTTATCAGATGGAACAGCAATGGTTACAGTGCAATATGCTTGGTAATTAACGACTGATGAAGAACCAAAAATGGTGGAGGAACTGTAGATTGAATGGACATAACCTATTTCTCAATGTCATACCAATGTAAAGGCAATTTCCTTCTCACAATTCACAAACCAACCATTCCCTCAGTGTTTCTGTTTCTGTCTTAATGGAGAAGATTAAACTTGGCATGAGATTTCAAGGTAAGGTGGCCATTGTGACGGCTTCCACTCTGGGAATCGGCTTTAGCATAGCCCAAAGGCTTGGTTTGGAGGGTGCATCTGTTGTCATTTCTTCTCGGAAACAGGTTCATTGATCAGTGTTTCAAATTTCCCACTTTTCACTTTTTTCTTTCCTTTTGTAGCTAAATAAGATTACAACCGCACCTTTTCTTTCAATATTTAACATAGGTATGCGTCCCATACCCGAATTCGAATTCATTGAATTAACTATTCAAGGTAGTTTCTGTATGGTAGTTTATTCATGGCATGTTGGCACTTGGTGACCCCTATGAAAGTCCTCTGTTTTAGTGGTCGGATATGAAGAATTCTTTTTTTTTTCCTTTTAACTGATTCATTTTGTCGTTGGAAAATGAGAGGAAAACGGTGATGATAGGATTGGAGGAATTCTGTTTCGTTGCTGCAGCAAAATGTTGATAAGGCTGCTGGCAAACTGAGAGCTCAAGGAATCGAAGTATTGCCTATTATTTGTCACGTTTCAAATGCACAACAAAGGAAGAATTTGATCGACAAAACTTTACAGGTGAGACTCTAAACTTTCTTCAGATGCACTATGAAATTTTTATTCGCTTAGAAAATATCTTGTCCAAGCTCAAAGAAGTCTCCTGTGGATTTCATCTACTCCAAGCATGAGAAGTTTAGTCCTTGTTTTTGTACGTTTATCGATGGGCTCAGTAAAAACTTTTGTTACTGTTATCTGACTGATGAATCATTTAGAAAAGTTACATGATTTTTTTTTTTTATAAAAGCTAAATGCAAAAATTATTATAAAAGCTCTCGTTAAAGTCATTCTTAGAAAATTGTTTAATGTTGTTGGAGTTCTCTAATATTGAATCAAGTTAAATGTGGAAAGTTGTAAGTTGTTATATTGAAGAAGACTTATAAACGAGATAATAGTGTAAAATATGTTATACTTCAAATTTTTAGATGCAAGCTTGAAAGTATGAGACGAAAGAGAGCAAAGGAGTGTTTGAGTAGTCTCTCTTTCGTAATGAGACCATGGTGAACTAACTTGGAAGGAATGGAGAAAAGCTTTCCACTTGGAGAGTGGTGGAGAAAATCTTAAGGTCATTAATCGATGACTTAGACAATATTGTACGTGTTATTGAGGAGCTCATGAACTTGTCAACGCTCTCGGTTGAAGAGTTTGCTAGGTCGCTTGAGGCGCATGAGCAACATGGAAAAGTCTCTCGATCAAGCACTTCAAGCAAAGACAACAAGAAAGGAAGAAGCTCAGAACACTCAAGACAAAGGTCGATACCAAGGAGGTATAGAAAAATATCCTAGTGGTAAAAGCCATGGAAAGGAAGAAGAGAAAGAAAAGTCCAGCCAACAAAATTGGTGTGGCCGAGATCGAGGTCAATGGAAAGGAGGTCGATCAAGCAACTCTAGTGTTGAGTGCTTCAAGTGTAGCAAGTACGGTCATTATGCAAAGGAGTGCAAATCAGTTAAGTGCTTCAGTTGTGGTAAGGTCGGGCATTCGCAAAAGATTGCTGATTTAAAACTGAAAGAGAAAAGACAACCAATCTCGTCAAAGAAGTTGAAGAAGAAGCAGTGTTGTTGACATGGGATGTAGCTTGGGGGTCGAGTACAATCAAAAGGAATTCGGTAAGTAGGTCTAGTATCATAAATCATTCTAGTAGCATGGATATATCGATAAGACGTGTAGATAACCCAATCAGCTTGGTGAGATGTCTGGATAGCTTATAAAGTTTGGTAGAGAGTGTGGAGATCTCAAATAGGCCGAAAAGGGACATGGAAAGCTCGATGGAACATGTGGCTAGCTTGGTGGAACATGAGGTTAGCTTAGTGGAGCATAAGGTTAGTTCGGTTAACTTGATTTGGCATCTACATAAGTTGTTTAAGTCGGTGGAGCAAGTGAATTCTCGGAAAGCTTAGAGGAGAGTCTGGGTAGCTTGGTAAAGCATGTAAATAGCTTGTATAAGTTGGTGGAGCAAGTGGGAAGCTTGGATAACTCAATAGGGCTTTTGTACATCTAGGATAGCTTGAACACAGAAATGAGCTTGTTATCCAAATGCTAGAGCTTACAAGAGGCATTTTACAACAAATAATTGACAAGAAAGTTATAAGCAATGCAGAGTTACAAACAATTTTAGAGAGAAGAAAGCAGGTTTTGCATAGACAACGCTTGGAACTTGAACAAAAAGTGTTAAGTTTGCAAAAGTAGTTACGTGTCGAGAATGATCTTAGACTTATACTTGAGGGACAAGATAAGAAATGATGACTTGAAATGGATAATGAGTTTAGTGAGAGAATTGTCTGATCTCTTTAAAAGAGCTCGATCTATTGAGAGGTATTTGGTTAATGACAAGTCAGTCACAAAGACAATAAAGAACCTAGTTAGGGACAAGTTGGCCAAAGTTAAAAAGAAGTCAACCAAAGCAAAGAACAAGTCAGTCACAATGAAAGCAAGGTTGATCATGAAGAAAATGAACTTGACTATTAATGAAAGGAACATTCTTATTGTGGGTTGTACGTGGCAAAGTCAGATACATGAAAGACAAAAAAAATATTTAAGTTTACAAGACAGTTTTGTTACATAAACTTAAATATGAATAGTTACAAGTTGTTATATTAATTGTCATATTACAAAAGTTAGGAATACTTTTAATAATGATTAAGACATGCAATAGAGTTTATTAATTGTGATAGTTATAATTAAAACATGTAGTTGTAAGGTCACGTTAAAAGGCCTATAAATAATCCTTGTACTACTCAATGCAAACATACAAGTCATAGTACTAGTAAATTATTTAATAAAGACTTATTCTCAACAAATAGATATTAACATTTTGGTTTGTAGGTGAAGTGAGATTTTCACATGACCTTTGAAGATAAATTGTATTTATCCCTTTTTAATTAACATTGAACAAGTGAGATTAATCAAAATTTGTCATGATTAGGTAATGCAAAATTCTAGCACAAATTGACCAATTTCCCTGGCTTCGTTACAGAAGTATGGAAAGATAGATGTCATTGTGTCGAATGCTGCCGTACATCCTTCTGTAGATCCCATTTTGCAAACACAAGAATCGATCCTTGACAAGCTGTGGGAGATAAATGTCAAATCCACCATTCTTCTTCTCAAGGTAACTAACTGTCTAATATAGTAACATGGCAAAGCCAAAAGACTATATGAACAAATGCAATATATTATGTGTTTAAGCATATTATCTTAATGTAACTCCATGGAATAAGATGAAATTGAAATTTTGTGTGGTGCATTGCCCATTGCATGGTTTATACAGGACGCAGCTCCTCACTTGAAGAAGGGTTCTTCTGTTGTACTCATTTCCTCACTTGCTGCTTATAACCCACCACCTACCATGGCTATGTATGGAGTGACCAAAACAGCAGTTCTTGGACTTACCAAAGTAAGTACTTGGCCTGCATTTGTTCCTTTTCCTTCAAACCTCGAAAGTATTTTTAACTTTATTTTTCTTTCTATATGGTTACTTTATTTAACTCCTTGTGTGGTGGAGGCTCTGGCAAGTGAAATGGCGCCCAACACTCGAGTGAATTGTGTTGTTCCTGGAATTGTGCCAACTCATTTTGTTGCACTTTATACCTCTAATGATGCTATAGTGAGTATCTATTATCCAAAATGGAGTTTTAGTTTTAACTATCAATTAGTAATTTGAATGAATTTTCTTGGTGTTGTATTATAGAGGAAGGAACTAGAAAGGACGACATTGATTGGAAGGCTTGGTACAGCTGAAGAAATGGCAGCTGCTACAGCGTTTTTGGCGTCTGATGATGCTTCTTACATAACAGGAGAAAATCTCGTGGTTTCTGGGGGAATGCCTTCCAGGTTGTAGTTCCACTTTATTGAAAATTGTTAAAAACCTTAACTGTAACTTTCTAAACATCAATTTAAGTGAGTAAACACACAAGAAAGTGAAATGTAAAGCGCATTTTAACTTGATTTTAATCAACATTTACACAGTAACATGGATGGTTTTCGATTTTTACAACTACTAACGTAGGCAGGATACAACATATCGACTTAGTAATACAAGTTAAGGAAACTTGACAAATAAAATTTAGCTACATTCCGGCTAGAATTAGCTCAAACATAAGAACACAACTACTCTGAACCCCTTCGGGCTCCTCTACCTATGTACATATATAAGCAGAAAAAGTACAACCCAACTTCGTGGATACATTGATCGATGACTGACCTTCTCAAAGTGATTGTAGTTGGACTGGTAAATCCTTGCGTCATATTAATCAAATCTTCTGATTATCATGACAATTTTAGTAGTGCTCTTAGAATAATCTTGCAAGCCATTTTACACAAAAACCAGTAAGTGGAAAGTACTTCGATTACTTAGTGTAGGATTTCCCCATCAGTTTTGTCATTTCAGAAGTGTGTCACACTGATCTGCAAGCAAAAGGAAAAACTAAACAGGAATGACATCAGCATTTTGATTATCTTCGCATGTCAAGATAAGCCCTTCAGCATAGGTTGGCAAAAGGCAGCGGATCCACTGGCACCCTGTTGAGACAGGCTCGGCTGAAGGCACAATCATGAGCACATTATCGTGTCGTTGAACAACTCCCATCACACTTACGGTGCTACCTTCTTTGATGTACCTATGCATTTCCAAATTTACATTATAAGTACCAAGTCACAATTTGGAAGGAAACTGTTAAAAAAATGAGTAAAAAAAACACTTTTGAATGATTAGTAAACTGCAGAATAAAGCAGTCCATACCCTTCCTTGAGGCGCATGATCCTGTCATCGCTAGAGAGCTTGCGGTCCGCAAGCCAGCCTAAGAAATTAGGAGACAACTCTTTGTTATCCTTTGTTACATCAACCACGGTATTTGGTTCCACAAAAGGAGCAACCTTGGCACCGTAGCCTGCTTTTACCAATGCTCTTAATCCAGACTGAAAGTCTGATACATAGAAATCCGCTACATATTTCTGTTCATAGAAGATAATGAAATCTTTGGCTTTATGTAGAGTATGAGAGACATGATTATTACAATATATGGTCATATATTTACTGATAACACCAAACATATAAACCACAATCCTTAGGCAGCAGTTTCTCTCATTAGAAAGGTTGCTGGTACTGACCAGATTACAAGATTCAATACATTTACAGATTTTGGTGATACATAACACATGTAGATCATGGTAACTTTATTAACTGTAAAACCATCATTTCAGTTAAAGTGGTAAAGCGGACATAATAATTCAGTTGATGAGTGAACCAAACATGAAAATGTATATATGCATGGAAAGCTCTAAGATAATCGTGCAAGTAGTTTTCTTATGCAGACTAAAAACAATTGTGTGCTAGGGCTTTAGACTTTTTGGTGAGCTTTACGAATTTCAATTTGGTGGATTAGTGTGGTTGGGCACCACAAGCATAGGAGTAAAACTCAATCAATCAAAAGCATATGATGGGAAGGCTCCTTATGCTGTTTTCAAGTTTCAAGCGAGCATCTACTCCTGTGTTTTTGCTAACTGCTATTTCAATGGAATCGTCATTTACATCTCCATTTTCTGTTTAAATCTCGACACGAGAGAAATATACACACAAGTTACACCTATACCAAGAAAGTGGAGACAGTTGAAGTGAGAGAAAATATAGTAGTATTTCATTCTAATAATATCAAATTAACCTTCGAGCATATTTATTATTGAGCAAATTACATTGATATGCAGCTATATTGTTAAACCAACATATTATATATAACTCGGAACAGGGCGATAACCTAAAGAGCAAAAAGCAGTAATCCAAACCCAAGTCTCAGATGGCATCAAACACGAATCTGAGCTCTAAGGTCTCCTTAATTTCAAGTTGCCTTAAAATTCCTTTCTTACCTATACATCAACTTGTTGCTCCTCAAACATCTATTCATTGTGTTATAGGTACCGATCAAGTAATGTAGATCTGTGCGCATTAGTAGTTCTCTCTTTAATTAAATTATGCTTGACCTTGAATCAATAGTACACAAAAGCATCAATAAGAATTAAACCAACTAACCTCAGAGTATCTAGAACCCCAAGTAAAGCAACTATGTTTAGGATTTGCTGATTTTCCACCCAATCCTTTGTACTCATATAATTCGGTGGAGACATACACACATCTCGGTATTCTTTGGTAGGATGACTCCAAAGGAATGCTGCCACATGTTACAACCTACAGGAAGAGACAGGATACATATAAAAAATACATTCTAGAAGTGTAACACGGATACAGGTATCAAGGTCTGTATAGGACTTTATCATCCATCCATAGAGCAACCCCTATTTGAGTGCATTGTGATAGGAGCTAGTGTTGAAGCAGTTCAGGGAGTAAGATTAAAAACTAGATATTGATTAATAACATAGCAACTGACAAGCCTGATATCATGATATATCCATAATATCTTGCAGAAGAGTTTTTCACAGCTAAGAGAGAGTTAGCACAAGTGAAGGCGAAGCAAAAATATACTACTTAAATGCCACAGTTAAACTTCAACATCAACAATCCTAAATACCATCCACCAATAGAAGAATCCAAGAAATTCATATTAAGTTATTTCTGTGAAGAATTTTGACTACATTTACATGCCAACCATTCTAGTAAAAAGCCAAATAAGCCATCCTTCTTTAATACTCTAGTACCACTAAAATGCACGTCAAACATCACCATCCCTGACCACCGTATCTGCTGAATTCATGAAGACACATTTACTCTTATTCAAGCTTCTGAACTAAGTAAATAATTCCACAACACGCAAGTTAACTCTTCTGTTTTGAGCCACGTTATAGACCTTCCAGTTTGTACCGTAAAATGAACAAAGCATACCTATACATCGATATCAGAACAAAATCTACCAACTTATAAATACTTGCATTCCAGACTCTATTGCGCCTAGAAGGAAAAAAAAAAAAAAAAAACTTCCATCATATAGGACAACTCTAAAAGAGGCGGTCTCAATCACCACGACCAAATTCACTAGTTTTGTAAGTATCAAACCCAACCAACACCCCGTACCTAACATCACATTATTAAGAAAAAACAAAAAACCAAAAAAATAACTAGGGGGAGGATATATGATAAACAATGTTAAATTGAATGTTAGCTGAACAAAACAAATAGCATGCCATCAAGATGAATCTTCATTTTATGATCATGAAACATCACTGAAGAGTGATTATAACATTATCGTCATTGTCATAGGTAAGAAAGAAAATTACCCCCGTAACCTTAACGTACTGTCCATCAATGGCGCCTCTAAGCTCAGCATCAGGGTACCTTTTCACAAACCCTAAAAGCCCTCGTCTCCCCCAAACGCAATTCCAAGAGATCAAAACCACCACGGGCACAATAACCGCTCCGAGAGCCACCAAGATCACAGCTTTCTTCACTGCCACCACGAGAAACACCCCAACGAGCAAACACATTGCCACCACCACCATGAACACCCAAACCACCGCCCTTGACACTTTGAACCCCACCTTCACCTCCTCGTTCAGACTCGTCACCGCCGACCCATATACTGTCTTCCCTGCCGACGCTGCTGCAGACGGTTGCTCCAGCTGCCCCGACCGCCGACTCCCAACCGGGCCGGATCCCACCGGACCCGACGTTATCAGGCCCGTCGGCTGCAGCGCTATCGGACCCGACCCAGACGACTTCCTCGACATGGGCCCCGACCCGCTAAGCCTCCCCACTGCGGGGCCCGAGTTCGGCCCGGATCTCACCGACCCGGATGACGGCCGCGACGGCTTCTGATCAACACCGGGGATTTCTAACATTTTTCCCAGCTCGCCAGACTTCTTTGGGTCACCGCCGGTGTACGGTACGGAGCGTGAGGTCATTGTCGGCGGGCGGTCTTTCGGCTGTTCGGGTCGACCCGACACATATAGACCACTGCTGAGCTGGTGAGAAGGGATTCGCGTCCCCATTTGAGAAAAAAGAGCAACTTTGGCTTCACAGAGCAAAAGGGTATGTTTCTTCCTCCTGTTCCTGAAGGTGGTGATAGTGTTGGTGTTTGCTCCTGCACTTTGTGTGTGTAAGTGTTGGTGATGATGCAAGTGGAAGGAGAACTAAGTTAGAAGTGGAGGAGGTTGAATGGAATTGCAGAAATGGGGTTGAGGTTCCTGATAATGACACCTGTGTCCCTTGTCTGTCTCTTTGGCCAAATAGCTGTGCTAATAATGTTGGGGCTCTGGAGGGTATACCTCATTGTTGCTGGTTTATTTGCAGTTTGGTGTTTCTTCTGTCCCCACACTTCTTCCTTATTTTACCTTATTACCCTTTTCCTCCTTCTTTTTCACCTTTTTCCTGTTTGTTTTACCCTTTTTACAACTTTCTTTGCTTTTTTTTTTCTTCTTTCCCCTTTTTGTGCTGATTCCAGAGTAGGCAACTAACGGAGACAAAACTAAGGCAGCCCTCTAACATGGTAGTTCTGTAGTGAGAGTGTGCTGACGATGTTCTGTTCTGTTCTTCTGCTTTTCATTCAACTCATGCCTTCTTGTTATCTCTTCACACCACTCTATTAAATGGTTTACATCACACACGTGATAACTCTATTTTTCATTACATTAAGTTAAGGCTTTTTTAGTATATGTTTTGTCCAGATAATAGTTTTTTATGATTATCTATAAAATAATAACAATGTAAATTAAGTTACACATATTGAGTTACAATTAAATTTTTGGAAAATGACACTTGAACAACCATTTTTGACAACATTTAGACACGCGCACACGTGTCAAAATCTGAGTGGTCCATTTTCATTTAATTTTTCCAACTGGACCACTCAGATTTTGACACGTGTGCACGTGTCTAAATGTTGTCAAAAATGATTG